TCCAAGAACAATTTGGCTAGATCGTTTTCTGGCCAAACGGGAAAACCTCCCGCAGCTGGCCTGGCCAAACCGCTGCTAGCTGCGCCTGAAGCCTTCTTTGGACTTCCTGGGCGTTCAGTCCGAAAGAACCCGCAGCGTCTTTCCGCAGTGGGAGCTTCACGCAAGCAAGGCATCGAACACGCCAGTGACACAACCTCTCTTTCCACTTACTCGGCCACTTGAGGCTGGTTAGCCACTTGGGGAGAATGTACACAGTGGTGATCATTGTTGCCTTGATATGCTCACATGAAAGTCCACACGCATGGCAAGGTCGTTGGTTTGCTACAGTCGCAAAGCTGAGCCAAACAAGCTTAACCTGCCAAGGAGGTAACGCCAGCATTGCCTAGTCATGTCCAATAATTGTGAAAGTACGCAGTTCAACACAGAGCAGCCCTGAAACGATCTGAAAAGCAAGACAAATGGTGTTTCCTTGTTTCTGTTCTAGAAGCAATAATCAAATCAAACCAAGTGCCGTGCGTGTAGACGCATCGGAGTTGGCACCTGCTCGAAAAATGAGCCGGCATGTAAACGTGTGTGTCTGTCTGTCTGTCTGTCTGTCTGTCTGTCTGTCTGTCTGTCTGTCTGTCTGTCTGTCTGTCTGTCTGTCTGTCTGTCTGTCTGTCTGTCTGTCTGTCTGTCTGTCTGTCTGTCTGTCTGTCTGTCTGTCTGTCTGTCTGTCTGTCTGTCTGTCTGTCTGTCTGTCTGTCTGTCTGTCTGTCTGTCTGTCTGTCTGTCTGTCTGTCTGTCTGTCTGTCTGTCTGTCTGTCTGTCTGTCTGTCTGTCTGTCTGTCTGTCTGTCTGTCTGTCTGTCTGTCTGTCTGTCTGTCTGTCTGTCTGTCTGTCTGTCTGTCTGTGTGTCTGTGTGTCTGTCTGTCTGTCTGTCTGTGTGTCTGTGTGTCTGTGTGTCTGTGTGTCTGTGTGTGTGTGTCTGTGTGTCTGTGTGTCTGTGTGTGTGTGTCTGTGTGTCTGTGTGTCTGTCTGTCTGTCTGTCTGTGTGTCTGTGAGTCTGCGTGTCTGTGTGTCTGTCTGTGTGTCTCTGTGTCTCTGTGTCGGTCTGTGTCTGTCTGTGTCTGTCTGTGTCTGTCTGTGTCTGTCTGTGTCTGTCTGTGTCTGTCTGTGTCTGTCTGTCTGTCTGTCTGTGTGTCTGTGTGTCTGTGTGTCTCTGCGTGTGTCTCTCTCTGTGTGTGTGTGTCTGTGTGTTCCTGTGTGTGGTGAAGGGCACTCTACGTAGGTATAACATCTCTGATTTAGCATCCCCTGGCCAAGCAGCTTATGCTATCAAAGCAACGCGACATCCCAAACATTTTGCATGCACTTCCCCGAGCTGGGAGTTCAGCCTGCAATGCTGTCTGATCTCACAGGTACTGTATCTAAATGTCAGTGACCGTGAGGATGGACAAATCATGCACCGGTTGGGAGGATAAACCTCCTATCAGCTGGTGCGAAGTGGGTTTTGTCCATCCGCAGTGCACGATGCCCAGCTCGTGCCTCGTGTGGATAGTCCAATCCCCCGAACACGAACCTGGCCGTGTTCAGCCAACACAGCACCTGAGAAAAACCAGAGCACCAATTTGGTGGCACCAATCCAACATTGTATTCAAAGACAACCGGAAGCTTTCACATCTCTACCCAAGGGAACCGCGACTTAAAAATATACAATGCCGCTTGGAAAGGTCTGCAACTCAGCTGAAGGGAGTGCCTTGCAGGACTTCTTGTTGGATGTGGGCATGATAATACTGTACTTCGAACTGCCCCCCACCTAGGCATGTTATCTGCTCAACTGTTCTGTGTCGCTCATTACCGCTCATAGCACTAGAAAAGCAAAGGCAGCGGCCACGCTTTAAGTACCAGTCTCTTTTCTGCAAGGCTTTACCACCAAACACACTATGCACACACGATACCTTGCCGCCGCAGCCCAATACCTCGTCTCAATCTTGCCTCTGTGCAATTGGAACAAGTGCCTTGCGAAACCAGCACGCGTGCAGGTTTTGGCAGGTTTTGGGCCATCTCTTGAAGAACATCTATGCGAATTTCTGCATGGGTCTTGGGCTGTAGCCATTGTGCAATTGGTTCTTCTCCCGGCTTTCCGAAGGTCAGACACTCCTGGAAGCTTCGCAGAGAAACTGACTTCACGGACAAACGTCCTTGGACCATGTGGCGCGGCCAAGGGGCTTCAACCGGGAAATCGACCTCAGTTTCTCCCCCGCCCCCAAACAAAACAGAACCAAACATAAGACACGTACAACCAAAGAAACACACAACTACGTAACAAACCTCCCAGGCCGTCGGCCCTCCCCAAAGCTGGGGCCCATGCCGGGTCCGGCTTGAGCAAATCGAAAAGCTCTTCCGCCGCCCTCGAGTGATGCACACGTTCGGATCTCCGGAAACACGTATGTGGGTGTGTGTGTGAGCTGTGTTTTTGAGGGAACCTGTTTGATGGTTTAAAGGAAACCACAGTTTGGTTCATGAGATGCAGGAAACAGGTTTTCCAATCTTAAATCCAAAGCCTATTTTATCCTATTTCTCTAGCGTCAGCAATTGAAACGTCAATTCTCCTTGTTCTGTAGATCAATTGTCCAGTGACCCTAGTACATCTCCTTTCTGCGTTGACGGTTTTCAATGAATCCACCGACAAAAAGGGGACATGGTGCGCTGAACAACTGGGAAAAATGACAGGAAAGCACGCAAGCTCCCGCAAGATCAACAACAAAACACGCACGTGCTCAAAGCAGGTCAGGTGAATCTAGGCTTTCTGGGATCTTTGAGGCAAGTGGCTGGTATCAGCAAATGGACCTTTTTTTCAGCCAGGCTGACTGTCCATCGAATTGCCGTGCTTTGCAGCCAAAAGCATAGGACCCAACAAGGATGGGAAACATGACTAGGTCCTCCAGTACAGAGGTTAGAATAAGGGTACCCTTCTTTCTGTAGTCTATTTTAGTAGGGAAGCCTCCCCCAAAAAAGGGTAAAAGGGCCCTACTGGGGACCTAGATGACCCACGCCCAACTTGCCCCTCCATGCCTCGTCAGCCCGGCCAGCTCCTCAGGCTGATGACATGCGTGTGCGACCACCCGCATCTGTCTAAACGAGAAACACCGGCAGGCGTCGGAAATCCCCGTTGTGGTGCAGACTGCTATGTGGTTCGGTGGTTCTTGTATCCAATTTTACATCTGTCAGAATAGGAGTCAGACCGCCAGAAGGCCCATGGGCCGTGCAGAGTTCTATTGCCCGTTGGCCTTCATGACTTGGCCTGAATGGAGAGCCAAGTGGCAAAATGGCTAGATGCTTGAAGACATAAGGAACTTTGAGGAACCTTTTTGTGGAGAGCACCCAATGGCACCGCGCCTCGAAAAAAGAGGCATCTGTTGCACTTGGGTTTTTCGCAGAGGCCGTGCTCAGTCAGCCAGAATGTACGAGTACCCATGTCCCCCGATGAACAAAACCCGACTGACGCTTTCGCAGGATTCGACTAATCTTTGGATGCCTCCAGCATTGATCCGCGTGCAAATGGACGCCGCCAACCATTCACTCTGGAATGTTGTCGACGGGACCAAATGAGAAAGCACAGCGTAGGAAGGTACAGTGACATAGAAAGGATATGAAACAGGTCATATTGAAAGTCTACGTAATTCATCAGAAGCCTGTTTGTTCATTCTAAATATTCAACCTTGAAATAGTAGTTGACATAAACTATGAAACAAACACTTGCAATGAACGTAGACAATAACCAACATGAACAAAACAGCTTAAACATGTAGTATAGAGACAAACAGCCGCAACCAAGACTTACAATTGATTCTGTTCTGGATTGTTCGCAATAATTGCCTCAAACACAAAGGCAACGAACGTATTCATAACACTACAAGAAAACGATTCAAAAAAACAAAAACTAGTATCTATACAGTAACATGACAAATTCTCAAAAAAAAAACAAAAAACAACAACATCCAAACACCGGAACAACACCTGAACAAATGAACCAATAGTGTAACAAATGAATGAACCACCCGATCCCTCTGGCGATGTCGGCAAATTGATGTGGCACAAATCGAATTCCACGCCGAGCCTCGCTCGAAGCCAACGGTGTGGAACGGCTGACATCCTCACACTGGCCGTGGCCTCCCTTCTTGAAGGGCTCCACCTCACGTGAAAGACCCGTCTCGGAAAATCTCCGACATGGTTGCGGTGCTTTTGGTTCTTGTTCAAGAACCACCGAAAGGGGTTCTCCCCGCAAAAAAAAAGCAAACAAAAACAACACACAAACTGGAGGGGACACCTCACGACTCCACAAAGGATAGCCTGTTGCGTGAGATCAGCAAGGTTGCTGTGTCATGTGTGGGACCAGGGTCAAGGCACTCGCTCGAATTGGAGTTGAAAATACACAGGCCTTTCAGAAATGAGTCCCTGTGACATTTTGTCCCCAGGCCACGAAATCAAACAGAAGGACTCACAAGTCAAAAGGCTTCCTTGCGCTCTTGGGCCCAAGTGGCCAATCCGGGCGACTTCGAATCCGGAATCGGCGAATCGGCTGACTCCAGGGCCAGCGCCCAGCCAGGAATCGCGATCTTCAGTTTCAACGTCAAATGGCTGGCACCTGGGCATGGATGTGCACCAGTCGACCGTTTTCAGATCCCCTGCTAAAAGTGACTAACTTTTAGTGGGTAAAATAAAAGCCCAACTACTAAACCAACTAAACAACCTGAATTGCCTCTAGAATCATCTGGCAACATGAACCAGCAACACAGAGCCTAGCCAAGCTCATTTGCTGCACTTGCGTCTTCATTCCCCGCGGTGATTCAACGATCTGCACACACACACACACACACACCTTTCCAACCTTTTCCAGCATAGCTTTACAGTGTCCCTGGGGCAAAGGCGTGAAAGTCCGCAAAGAATTGAATAAAGTCGCAAAGGACATGTAATGGGGAGCCCTGCTTCACGGAACCCAAAACGCCCCCTCGCTGAGCGGCGGAAGCTGCAGGCAGCCAGGCGCTCGCTAAGCTGTCGGGCGACCTGCGTGTCAACCCAAATGGTTTCCTGTGAGCCCCCAGGGACGCTACACAAACACATAAATATTGCCAAATGAAAAGCCATATTTTCTCAAAACTGATGGAAGAGCAGGCTTGCATGCACTCATGCACTCCAGCGCGTCTTCATTCATCTTCTGGAGTACTTGTTCTAGTCGACCACGCTAGAGCCACAGTATGCGTGACCAACATGCTGATAAAGGGGTCTGTCCTCCGTGCATGGAAAGTTTGAGGCGGGCAACACAAACACGTTGCTTGGCACATGAGCAACAAGGCCATACAAAAGCTGCAAAGCACGATCTGCGAAAGGTACAAAACAATGTAAATATGGAGCACCGAGGTAGGTAAGTAGGTGACTGATCCAAATGTCAATCATGACGCATGGACAGTTTGTTGGCTTGACATGTATCCCCGCGTGTCAGAGATCCGGCACATCGGGTGCCTCACCAAGGATCTTCAGTACCGCCGGGCGATCTTGACAACGTATGCCCCAATTCCTGGGCCACAAGGGCCACGGGGTGAGTCCACGACAGCTGAGATAGACTCGAGTTGCTTGGTCATGACATACTGATCAATCACCGCATCGGCGGAAGGTCACCTCTGCCCAAAGATTCGAATGCATCGCTGGAAATCAGTGGCAAGAAACATGAACACGTCGTAGGACCAACACGGCAATTGGCAATTGACATGGCCTGACGGGCAGCTCTAAATGGCACACTCTCAACTCTCTTTTGTGGTGCAAGCAAGGCTTGGTCAAAGGTTTGGTGCACAGGTCTGTGGAAGTGCTGTGCTTCCAGTGCTTGGCAAGCCATATCCAACAAATGCAGCTCTGTGCAGCTCGAGCGGCATTTCAGCACTAACCGACCTCATGGCCGAAGCGAGGACATCTGGCCTTTTGCTTTGAGATTCTTTGAGCTTGCGGCCGTGAACAGCGCGCCTGTTTGACATCCGTTTCTCAAGTCAAAACCCGCTAAGCCCTTAGAATCTTTGCCTTGCAAACGGCATTCTCATGACAAATACAAGAAGTTGCTGTCATAGGTGTGCTTTAGATGGCCCTGGTAGGTTGTGAAACAACCAAGTCAACCAGGGCCATCTACTTTCCTTCAAAACAACCACAAAGGACACCTACGGTTGCAGCGCTTCTTCTTAGAAGGGTGTGCAAAAGGTGGACACTACCGCCGCAACATCTCTGACATGCGCGGCACCAGTTCAGTTTGAATGTGGGGTTTGGGTCGCCCAAAAGGATGGCGGGTCTGCTGATGGTCTAAGCTGCCTGTTTACTGTCATGCACCAGATTCGAGAATCCATCCCTCTTCAATTGTCTGACGGAGAACACATGCCGGTGAGACTTTAACGCATCTGCAACGAAACCATCGATGTGTCTGCTAAGTAATCAAGCCATTAACGCTTGTTCCTTTGGCTTCGGGTCCGCTCCTTGTAATGAGTTCGATGGATGACTTTGCAGCAACTCTGCAACAGGTGCAAACCACTGACCCGCAATCAAAGTCACATTCATCTCATCCACAGGCTTGCCACTGGGTCTGCGGCTTACGTTGAGCCGGAACCAGGCTGGACTCCTTGCCACGCGAGGATCGCTGCTTCAAGCCAAGTCAGTCACAATCAAAACCTGGTACTAGAATGGTCTACCCAGAACCATGTAAAGAATTAAGAAGGCGACCGCAACTATTTCTGGCTGGGACCACCCCTTACTAACCTTCATCTAGCCAGGTGTTGATTGTGGCTCAAGTGGGTTCCCACAATTTGTTGGACTCTACACAGTCACTGGCCATTTTGGACGCTGTACACATGCTGAAACCATGGCCAGGTGTTGGTGAATCCAAACAGTCGACAAGCCTTTCCGGTGTGAATCCCCGACAGCAAGCTAGCTCTGCGCATCTGCTTCTTCAGGTTGGCCGAAAAAAAAAAACTGATCGCTGATCACGCTGCGACGAACCAAGAAGCTGCAACAAGAGACAGCTGAGCTATGACAAGCCAACCATCTACGATATCCTGTCATATCTAATCGCGCAAACAGGAACGAGGCATCGCGGGCTATGCGACTATTGCGAGTTTGGGTGTTGGCATTGCAGCACGAACAGTTGCAGCCGCTGGAACCGTGGCAACCATGACCCCCCGCTCCCACACCCTGTTTCTGTTTGCTGTGTGCTTGAACCATGGCTCAAGGCCTGGTCTTTGGTACATATATTTACCAAGCTCTGCCATGTACAAACAAGGACATCTACCTCGGAAATAGAAACAGGGATATAAAAGCTGGTTACTCCGGGCCCCTTTGCACAAAGACGCAATGGTGCAGACCCTTCAATTGCTTCACCTGCAGTTTCTTTTTCAACGGAGTTGGTCAATAACAAGTTGGGTTGTGAATCACCAGTTGAGTCCGCACCCCCCCCCCCCGCCCCGGTCTACCCAACATGTTGCTGTCAGATTTTTGTGCGCGTCAAAAGGTCGGTCAAGCTCAAACAAACACGAGGCACCAGCGCTCTGCACGCCAGCTTGATCATACTCCTGATCAACACAATAACTCGAGGTCCAGGCAGTCCAAAGCAAATCCCCCACCATTCAGACGCAAGCAGCGCTTGCATGCCATATGCGAATGGCGTCTTGATGTTTGAGTAGCTTTCGGAGCAACACACCACAAAAAGCCAAGCGAGACGCATCCCAACCCGCCTGGTCAAGCCCTTGTGCATTGAGCCACAAGGTTTCGCCCTTCACGCCCAACCTCGCGAGTTGCGAAACGCCAAGCCCACGCCGAGCCCTTGTCTCTGATTCGAGTTAGAACAAGAAGATCATTGCGGAAGTACATGGCTACATGGCTACCATCTGGAGCCTGATCACCCAATTGGGGGGTGTAATCTCAAATCCGTGGGACACCGTGAACTCCTAGGTTCAAGAACACCTGCCCATCGACACGCCATCCAATTTGTTGCCCACTTGGTCCATGCCGGGAAGCCGCTTGCTCCGCGCCGGGAAGGCGGCTTTCGACACACTCGTTTTCTTGGAGCTTTGCTGGAATCACGGGCAAAACGTAGGGCCAAGCTTGTACAACGCAATGACTCGCTATGTTTCACTCATCCAGTCTAAGTCAGGAGACATTTGTGTCAGCTAAGTGCACCAGCCACTCTCGTAGTCGCTTCTTCCTGGCAGAGAGGCACGGCTGTGTCAGAGTCAAGCCAGCAGCAATCCCCCAAGTACCTTGTTTCCTACAATCATGGAAGTGGACAGAAGGGGGTTGGACTGCCAGCGAGCATGCAAGAACATGCTCTGACAAGCGAACAGATCAAACCTAGCACCCTGATGCGCATCTGCACATCAACTCAGAACTCAGAACAAGACAAACATAACATCAAGGAGCAACAGGTGCTGATTCATGTCAAATTGCCACGTGGCGTGATTCTTGCATGATGCAATGTGTATATCTCTACACAGGAATTACTATACCTGAATGATCCAAGCATGCGGTTTTGTGCGTGCAGCAATGACGAACATTCCTGAACATAAGAGAAATTCCGGCTGATGGGTCCAAGCCGCCAATTCGAGCCTCTCTGATTTAGGCTTGTGTCAACATCGAACTCAGAAACTCCCTGGTGGAAGGTTGTGAAACTCTGAAAGGGAAACCGGAACTTCTGGAGGACTAGGGGAAAACACCAATCTGTGGTTTGGCGAACAAGCTTGAGAACCGTCGAAGCGTGAAAGTGCTTTGGTGTTCGCCCATATCTCGGGGGGTTCAGAATGGCTATACTGAATGCAATATGTCCGATTGCTTTGCTTGCATGCTGTCTCCATGAAGGGGCACTGTTACTCATTTTCTTGGCATCTCGACAAGGACAAGCTAGGAACCGGGCCCAATGCAGCAAACACATCACACACGACAACATACGTAGGATGATGGAAGACACTGGCACACCCACAACGACCATGCATTGTTTGTCCCATCCTCGTTGAAGCTTGGCTGGTAAACAGCACTCTGAGCACTTCCGAACAGATTTATCGAGCTCGGTCTGAGTTCCCAAGCTCCAGCGCTTGAATGTCGCTGCAGGTGTTGAGGCCTCTCTCCTGAGGAGTCACGCTGGATGGGTTTCACACTAAAACCCGACTCGGCAATGAGGCCTTTGGACAAAGATCGACATCTTGCCCACCTGCCCACTTACAGGGTCCTCGGGTCTCACCATGAGGTTGCCGTAAAGCGGATTCTCAAATGAACTCCGTTCGGACTTTCGAGCAAAAACCTCAGGATCAAATGAAACACACAACTAATGGGTGTGTTCAAAACACAGCCATTGAACTTCTCTGAGTTGACATTGAAGGGAAACGAAAAGGAAGAACCATTTTTAGTGGTCAACTAATCTTGGTATATACCAGAATCCGCTGTCTGGTCACACAAAAGTTGTTGGCATCTATTGTTCGATAGCGTCTGGCGTAGCCGCTGTGAAGCAGGACAAAAGCCGATGAAATGGAGTCGGGTTTCACAGAGCCGCCAATGAAGTCGGAGCCCCATTTAGAGGGAGACAGCGAGAGCAGCTTTGTGCAGCATAGGCCACCAGTTCACCCAGAGTATTGGAGTCGTTCGTTCAAGCATTCCGCATTCCAAGCATTCATCTTCTCGAACCCGAGCCTGATGTTTGCTAAAAGCCAGGAAACAGTGGCAGTATTTTCAGCACTACACATGCCAACTGCACAAGCCATCCGAGAGGGTGCTGTAAACCACCGGCCTGCAACTTGGCAGCCATGGAACGACCCACCTGGCCGTTTCGGCATCTGCACTGTTGCATTGTGCGCCGTCACTGCGCTGTCTTGCTAGGTCACACACCCTGCACTGCCCACTGCCGCCGCATTTTCCGAGAGGCTTCCACAGCTAGTTTCTAATCAATGCGTGCAGTTTCTGATATGTGCCCGGCAACGCGGACCAGTAACATGGTGCGCCATCCGAGGGCATTCCCCACAAGGGGGCAGGAAAATGTGTATTGGCGGCGGCCGAGTAATTATCTTTGGAAGTGCACGTGGGCACATCCCCGCACAAAACGGCAAGTTCTGACAGGATGGACCAAATGCACTCCTCGTCCCGCTCCCAGCAAATTCAATATCTGGTTGCTCATTTGATCAGCGCGGGGGCGAACAGGTCGGCAGCCTGGCAGATCCAACATGATCCAACCTGACCGGGGTCCGACTGGCAAGCCATTCATGTATGTCAATGGTCGGAGTGTGGATGAAAGGCCCCCAATGCTTGGCCAACTGTGAAAATACTGCAGTATTGCAACGAGTCAATTGGGTGGGGGATCAACACCAAGGCGCATCTCAGAATCAGGGCGACGCTAGACTTCAAAATAGGTAGTTAAATGGGTACCTGCAGACGGTTTGAAGAAATGAATCACTCAGCATACAAATCCTGAAGTGAAGTTGCAGAAAGGACTTGCCGCACTTCACATGTCATCTTTTCCATTGATCTTTCCCGCATGATTTTCGGCATTGCTTCAACACGGGTCGCAGTACTGGGGGCCTTGGGTAGGGAGCCATGAAAGGACTTGTTCCAATGCAAGGCGCGGATGTGCTGGACAATGAGACTTACAGGAAGCCGGGCCCACATGATTTGGCCTAGTCTCGATGCACGCCTGTTGGCTGGGATTGAAAACGACAGGAAAATCGAGCATTTGAGGGTCCCTCATTTTGAGACATGCCTTTTTGCTTTACTCCAACTTTTAGGGGCACAAAGCTCCAAATCGCTGGTCATCTTGCGAGAAGCAAATGCGCGACCAGGAAAGCATACGCAGCACCACGTGGGCCTCGCTTCCCTCTTTGGCCCGTTTCCTCGGCCTCTGCAGTTGTGACGTAAGAGGAGTTCGCCTCAGCAAGCAAACCTCTTCTTCACAGCCAGCTTGCCACGTGGAATGCGCCAAAATGGTTGCCCCCTAGTGGCAGATGAGTCTCGTTTTTGAACCGTCCCAAAAGGGTTCAACAAGTGAACACAAGCCACAAGCCAAGCCCGTGTGGGAGCAGGAGCCAAAATGGGTGTGTCATTTTTCGATCGCCAAAAGTTCGGTTTTCCTCTTGGCTTTCCTTTAAAACCAACTAAAAAGGGTACCCTCAACAAAGACACACCCAAATGAGCTTGTTTCCGTCAACGCCAGCCTCCGCTCGTAGACCTGAAATCCTGCGGAAGAAACAGCGGATCCACCCCGCTTGCCCCTGAGCGGTCTTGATACTTGGTCAAGATTTGACAGGTGCATACCTTTTCGGGAAGCTACTGAATCGAAGCATGAATTCCATGCCCTTGTGTACGCAGTCCATCATATTTGATCTGCAAGTGGCCTCCTATGAGGCAATCTAGACTCTAGACTCACTTGCAATATTGCGGACACCAGTTGCACCACGCACAATACAAAAACATAAGAAAACACGATAGACGAGCTCTTGCAAAAAGTGCCTCTCAAGCATGAACTGCAACACGCTCCAATTTCGCAGCGCTTTTCCAGCTTTCTCTGAACGTTTCCATCCGGTCGTGCCCGTGTTTCCTTCAGATTTCTTGCAAAGGTCATTCAACATGGACATGCCTCACCAAGATGTTGTGCAACAGTGCTGACAAAAGTGAGTTCTCAACATGGAAATGTGTCAACACTAGAGACCCCTCCAAAAATGCCCATGCTTCCCTTGGACATCAACAGACTTGGAGCCTTGTGCTCGGAGACCCTGCCTTTCTGACTTGCTGAGTGGCTGGCCCAAAAAAAGTCCAAACTCTATATATTTACCACTAAAATGGTTGTCCCAAAAAGTTGAAAGTTCATGAACTCATCAAGTGAGCTTCTCTTAGAACGTGGGGCGAAGCTTCGGGCGATAAATGCATCTCCTGGTCAGCCGCAGCTCTCGAAACAGCGGCTGCAGCTGCCGCCGCAATAAGTCCACCGTGGAGGTCCTGCTGATGCGGGAAGCCAGATGCGCGAACGCATTGGTAGGGGAGGGGCTCCAACATTTCACACACAGCCAACAGGTGCTCAGCAATTGCAAGTATCTAAAACCGACGCTTCTGGCACCAGCACCCCCAAATTGAACACAAAGTCTTGCAATCAATTCATGTTCTCGCGCGATTTCAACATCTACGTCGCACCTAACAGCCAGCAACGCGTGAACAACTTTTAGCAATAAGCAACGCTGCAAACTACCCTGACATGTTGAGGCCTTCTCGTGCAGTACTGCGATGCAGCGCAGGGTGCGGTGCAAATCTGGCAATCTCCAACAGCAGAACACGTAGACTAATGCAACTTGATCTGCCGTTTTGGCCCGCTCTTGGAAACTCCCTAAACCAAGCCGCCAGCGGACACGCGAGCCGATCATGCCCTTAGGGACCTGACCAATCCCATCCAATCCCCAATCTCAGAGCAATGGACACCGGATCAGCCGTTGATGCGATCAGAGCATAAGGGAGATGCGACAAGGACATGCGCATACCTATCCTGTGAGAGATGGCGTACTGAACAAGGACACCTCCAGGAGCCAAAAGCCGGTAGAACCTGGGCGACTGGCGGCAAAGCTTCTTAACACATCGCCAGCAACCAGCTGGGTTTGACTTGGCACTCAACGATATGTTTAGACACATCCTTCCATGTTTCTTATGTCTGTACCAGTCACATACATACGTACTCTCACATACATATACTGTATTCCTGCGTCAGCACACATACACATATCGTGTCTTTCTCACATTCATCTACGCAAGCATGAAATGCTGAAGGAGAAGCTCAAACAAGTCATGGCTGGAGAAAACAGAAACCATTCGATTTTGGACTGAAAGGCCAGCTGTGTGATTCTGACGGATCAAGCCAAGCAAGGTGATTGCTGCCAGGAGTTGATCTCTGAAGCCTTGAAACAGTCTATCAAAAGGTGTGTGACACACTGTACTGTATGTGTATCTTTGCTTGATTGCTTGCTTTCTTGCTTGCTTGATGGCGTGTCGGTTTCTTCCTTGCTTGCATTGTCGCGTGTTTGTTTGCTTGCTTGTTTCTAGATACCTGTGTGTCTTCGTCGGTCTTTATGTGCACGAGTGTGTGTGTGTGTGGTTGTGTGTGTGTGTGTGCGTCTGTGCGTCTGTGTGTCTATGTGTCTGTGTGGCTGTGTGTCTGTGTGTCTATGTGTCTGTGTGGCTGTGTGCCTGCGAGCCTGTGTGCGTGTGTATGTGCGTGCATGCGTGCACGCGGGCTGCATGCATGCAGGTTGCGTGTATGTATACATGTGGATGCGTCTCCGTGCGTTTGGGTGTCTGTGTGTCTGCGTGTCTGTGCGTTGCTCAGTGCGCCTAGCACACGAGACATCGCAATGCGTGTGGCATGCAAATTCCCTCAGCATCCCAGCCTTTTTTTTGCACCAAATGGCTTTGCAGTTTGCCTTTGGTCTCCTTCTGGAACAGCTGCAAAAAGGATACCCTCAAGCAGTTGAGACACGCATACACACACACACACATACACACAAATCAACTGCTGTGACGACTTCAGCCGCTGCCACCACTTTTGGTGTTCCGAGCAGCTGCAGGGCCTCGAAAATGCAGGTTGGCAAACCCCACTGCTCAAAGAGCTGCTTCTCGCCAATGTACCTGGAAGGAGGCTGAGAAGGGGGAACCACCTGCCTAAAAGGGCATGAATGTACCTGGAAGGATGCGGAAAGAAGGGGTTGAACCACCGGCCAAAAAGGGCATGATACTGCGGGTGGACGAAATCCATTTCGCACCACATCAGAATTTCTGGAATGATCATTCCTCTGTAAATACCAACGAACAGTGTTTTCCCATTGTTTTTAAAGGTGGTGCAGGATTTCGTCCACCCACAGTAGCATTGGCCATCGTTGGGCTGCTACATTTCTGGCACAGGCTGTGCTGCCGGCTTGCCAAGGAACATGCAGCCCAGAGTGACTCAGCAGCATCCGCGTCAATAAAGTGCACAGGCAAGCACACAAACAGACACAAACCCAGACACAAACGCAAATCTAAAAACAAGCACGACGCAACAACACATATATATATATATATATACACACAAGCAGCAGGGTTACTTGGAGGGTCCGCCTTCATACTGTTTTCCGCAGGGTTTGCCTTGTGACACATTTTGGGAAAATGATGACATTTCTGCACGTTTAGGAGGTCCCAGCAAGAGGAGCCGTGAACACCACAGTGGCAAGATCAGCGTATCACGTGCCGTGGAACAACAACATACAAAAACGACCCACAAGTTTGAGCAGCCATCATTTGGCAAACGAGTGACCACTTCCGACCTCAACATTGCAAAGGGGCCCTGCGTTCGCACAACTGTCCTAGAGCAAGCATTCTCAATGATTGACTGAAACAACATCTGCGGACCGCCGGAGTTCTGTATCTATCATCTCTGGAGATGTCCCTTTCCGGTTTAGCTGACCGTCATAGACAGTGGCAAGCGAGATATAAGGAAAAAAGAAGAAGAGATGGCCCCTTTCGGGGCCAACTTTTTCTTTTCTCTGCCTGGGGCTGATGTTCAGCGGGTCGTAGAAGATCAGATCATAGGACTCCGCTGGCAGCGACGGCAGGATCTTCTGCCATGGGCCTTCGTGCACGTGGACGCTGCGCACTTCCGCCTGGGGAGCACAGGCAGGTCACACATTCGGTTGATTGTTGCCTCTTCTATATGTAGGTGTTCCCAAAAAGAAGGTGTATATATATATATCCTGGTCACACATTCAGCTGATTGCTGTTGAAACAAATGGGCTTGAACTTCTTCTCGATGCAGGTGTTCCCAAGAAGAAGGTATATCCATTGTTTCCGGCTTCCTTGCAAACATCCAACATGGGGAGCCAATGTTGCGAAACAGCCAATGTCTGACCATCAAACTTGCAGTGAAGCTTTGGTTCCAAGCACAGTGCTTGATGTTTGACTCGAGCCCCCAAATCATGGAACCCCCTCAACAGCTTCGATACAGCCCCGTCCGGCCGTTGCCTAGTCACCCAGGGTAGACAAAGAATCGGAACCTCTGTTGGGTTGATCTCAGGAAGCCAAACACAAGATGTTTTGCGGGGTTCACACAACTGGGGCAACCATGGGTGTGTGCCAAAATAGATAACACCCAAACCAAGTTGGCATCCTTGTTCCCCTTCAAACGCCAAGTTGTTACCAAGCAAGTTGGGTATGAAACGCAAACACAATATGCTTTTTCCCGGTATAAAACATATAACACCCCCCCAGAAAAGAGCCCCCCCCCAAACCCCGGTGCCCCGCTCCCCCCCCCGGCGCCCCGGTGGCCCCCGTCACTCGTCGCTCGTCTCCGCCTGGGTCCTCTTGGCGGCCTCGCGGCGCGCGTCCGCGGCCACGCGGGGGTGCAGCTCCGCCACCTCGTAGTGCACCTCCAAGCCCAGGCCTGCGATCTGCTCGAGGGCTCGGGCGGTTTGGAGGGCGCGGGCTCGAGGGGGCGGGGGGGCGGGTCAGGGCTTGAGGGGGGGCGAGAGGGGGCCTGTGGGTCGAGAAGCCAACAAAGAAACGAGCGGGGCGAGGGGGCGAGAGGTCAACCAACAAAGAAACAAGGAGTCTCGGAGACAGAACACAGCAAAACGACAAACAGAAAAAAAGAAACAACAAAAAGACAAGACAAACACACAAATACACAAGATCGTATCGTATAATCAAAGTAGATATTACATGCTTAGTCAGCATATGTATACATATATATACATATATAGATATGAGACATGTGTATGTACCAATACACATGTTTCGCATCATGCACCAACCTGAATCAAGCATGCACCTATGTCTATATTGCTGCAAAAGCAACCCCAAAGAAAGTTCAAGATTCCCGAACCGCAAGTCTGGTAACTCTAGAAGAAGAGCCGTTGCTCTTCTGGGCCCAGAAAGGGATGAATTTGAATTAGGGACCCCTTGGTGGACATTTATGGGGTTGATGTCCACACACCACGTGGGGTGCTTGCCCACCAAAGTTCATAGCCGAAACCTAAATAGACAGGTGTCTATGGTCTTTATTCGAATCCGGAGGAAACCTAGCAAACAGTCTCGGACACGCAATTGCCATGGACTCCACCGTTTTGCCTGCCACTTTGGACAGCAATCGCCTGCGTTCAGAACCAACCCGAGTTCGGATTCATGGAAGGTCTGCCCAACTACCCGCTGAGCACTTGCAAGCATGTCGGGGAAATGCGAAGGCCTGCTTCCTCTGCATTGTTCATCAAACGTCTGCCGCTGATGCCCTCAGGGGGCGCATGGGGCGATGGCAAGGGGGCTCGCAGCGAGATGCTAGGTTCACCTTGCCCTTCAAACCAAACGAGTTAGGCATTGAGTGACAAGCACCCCAACTTTTGCAGCTTGCGCCTGGCCCCATCCAATCTCCAAGATCCGCAGCTTCCGCTCTCCTTTTTGCAGCACGTTCTGCGCAGCAATCTGGAAGCCGGCATCCGCCAATGCGAACATGTAGGGCCACTCCCAGTCCTTATGCCCAATCTCAAGCAAGGCCACCTGAAAGATTGAGCATTGGTTCCCCCCAAAGGGTCACTATCCAAATCATTGCGCACAGCAAATGGAAGAAGTCTTGAAATCTGCGGGCAAGGGGATTCCATGGCCATGAATGCCTATCCCTGCCTTCCGTGCCTGCATCCTTCTCAGGCAGACTAAACTATGTATATATATATACTATACACTTGCAGGCGCGATTTTGCCGAGTCAATGGATCCTTCCTCCTCTTTCTGTTTGGGAAAGTGATTGATTACTTCTTTTGCTGACTTGTTGCAAGTAGTATGGATCAGGATGCATCAGGATGCCAACTCTAGCGTTGTTGAATTTTCCAGTCAGCGCAGCATTCCACCGACCAAAGTCAGAGCCAAAGTGTTGGAAAGAGGAATCAGCGAGCTGGGCTGCTTTGGCCATCTTTTTCAGGGAGCCGAACATCACTACCATTATCGGGTTCTTGTTCTCCACGGTTTGCGAAAAATAAATCAATCGATAGATACACAGATAGATAGACAGACCGAGAGATAGATAGATAGATACAAAGATAGACAGATACGTAGATTAGATTCGATTAGACTAGATAGACAGATCGACAGATCAATTAGATTAGATTAGATTAGATTAATCAGATTGGCTAGATAGGTAGATGAATAGTTGGATGGATACATAATTATTTGAACAACTAAACGAACTGCTGCTGGCGGCCTTGAAATTCCTGAAAGCTCAAGAAGGCCTCGCGACGCGACCACGCTCGCTTGCCCGTGCGGATTCGTCGGGGAGGCTTCTCCCCTGCGATCCGTGAGGGGATCGCCAAGATATGGTAGAGCCTGACGACCAGTTGAAAAGGTCGCGATATCAAGTTGGATGCCATCGCAGTACTGTGTCAACTGCCACAAGCAGCAGAGCGCAAAGACAAAGGCCATAAAAGCGCGGATACACTGTCCAGCATGTTCATGAGGAGTGTGCCACAGTGGGGCTTCAGCCAACTGTGACAACCCGCTTGCGCACGCAAAGACCCTTTCTGAAGTTGGACGCCATTCCGGCCGAGCTGCTGGTTTCTGGATTTGGCGAGACGCTTTGCTTATGGCTACAACTCGTTGTGACATTTCGGGCTTCATCGCACCCCCTTGAAGAACATGAAGCCTCTTCTAACATGCTCCCCAGGTTTGATCGTTGGTTTGCGTCAGAAATGTCTGAGCCTAGGAACTTGGAGCATGTGCCTGACCGTGCATTAGAGATCCAAGCACATGTGGATGTGCTGGGGTTGCTCGTCGTCGTAGAGTGATGCCGCGCCTGATCTGTAGGTTCTTGATCTTGACAGCATGCACGGCATCATCACTGAAATATCGTATTCCTCATCGCCTGACCTTGTACAGGAAGATGGGAAGATGGGGGGGCTTGATTTTCATCTGGGAAATCCCTCGTCTCTTCATTCAAGCTTCCATTGAGGTTTGCACTTCATTACATTTTGGCTCAAGATAGCAGTGTGCGAATGCTAATGCTTGCTGCTAACCAGACTGCCCCTTGTCAGCTATCTATCAATAAATAAATACATGAACAAATAGACAAATGAATGAACAAATACATGAACACACACACACATGAATAAACAAATTAATTAATTAATTAATAATTAATTAACTAATTAATGAATGAATGAATGAATGAATGAGTGAGTGAATGAGTGAATGCATGAGTGAGTGAATGAATGAATGAATGAGTGAAGGAGTGAACGAGTGAATGATTGATTGACTGAATGATTCACTGAGTGACTAGCTGACTGGCTGACTGACTGAATATACAGATTCGATTGGATTAGATTAGACTATATTAGATTTAGATTTAGATAGATAGATAGGTAGATAGATAGATAGATCGATAGATAGATTAGGCAGATTATATATATATATATATATTAGATAGATTAGACAGATTAGATAGACAGACAGACCAACAGAAAGACAGAAAAACAGACAGACCGACACACAAACAGACAGACAAACAGAGAGAGAGAGAGAGAGGTGGAGAGATAGAAAAGTATATAGAAAGATGGATGGATGGAGGGATGGATGGATATATATATAGATCGATAGATAGATACCAGTTTGATGGATTGGCTGTTTGATTGATTGATTGATTGATTGATTGATTGATTGATTGCTTGATTGCTTGATTGTTTAGAAAGAGAAATAGGTAGATAGATGGATGGATAGATAGACAAAACTCCTTTTGTTCTCCTTTTGTTCTTGTTGGGATGCACCTAATCGTCATTGTTTCCTTTCGGCAGGTTTCGTGCCTGGATGCAGTTGGGAGCTCTTGTCGTCTGCGTGCATGTATGTATTCCAGTCCGAACGCCACATTGCAGAAGACATGTCTGAAACAAACCCAAACTATCTCAGTTTTTCTCTCAAAGGTCCGGGGGTTGCATATGCTAAAAAGCAGCGCCAGGAACACAACGTGTGGATGTGTTTTCAAGCTGCCTGTAAACACCCCCATCCCATCTGCCTAATATATATATATATATGTATGGCTGTGGGTCAAAACCAATGGTGCCATTTGGGGTAGGTGCACCGCCTATTTTAGGACCTATTTTAGTGGGGATTGGGATGTTCACTGGGTGTACTGGATTTTGACCCACGGCCATATTAATATATACATATATACACATGTATACCTACCGCCAGAGGCTTCTCATCCAGACCTCGACTGCCAAGATTCTTGCATCAAATGGATGGGCCCCGTGGTGCCTCGCACGTGCAGATGCTTCCCGAAGGACTCCTCAGAGCCCAAGACCCCGGGCTCCGAGTCTTCCACCTGGAAGGTGGTAAACATCTGCCACATCTTCTCCTGGTGAGTGGGGCAGGATGGGTCAGGCGACTGGATGGCGATGGGTGATGCTGGGTGATGGTGGGTGATGGTGGGTGAGGAAGGGCTGTGGAATTCTTAGCCGGGGTCAAGATAAGAGTCGCTTCCTAGGTCCCTTGGTTTTGAGGATCGACCATTCGTAGCTTCCTGATGCCTTGCAGCGGGCCTTGTGTTGCACCCTGACACGAGCGACATGCGCAATGGTCAAATCTCCTAGCCGGCAATGACTGTTGCTGTAGGGATCCTTGGTAAGTTTGTGTATTTCTGTAAAGGGTTGATGGCCATCCCTCCCAAAGGCGTCTGTTGACCACATAACATGTTGGCTCTTGACTAATCACTTACCATCCAATATATTTAAGACAACGCAAACCTCATGGCAAGTATTGCTTGAAGTCAGATCATCTTGGGTAGTGCCTCTTGCCAAGGAATTTTGTTCTAGCTCAACAATATGTTTCCACCGTAGCTTGTTTGAGAATTCTCCAAGACATCCATCAATCCTCAACCTGCCCCTGCGCCTGTTTGGAAAATCAGTAATCTGCTAGACTGCCCAAGGTTGACTTCAATTTAAGGTTAGGGTTGGTTTAGAGTGGTTTAGGGTCCGTTTAGGGCCCATTGAGGGTTGGCTTAGGGTGGGTTTTGGTTTAAGGTCGGTTTGGGGTGTTTGAGGCTTGGTTCAGGGCTAGTTTCGCTTTGGTTTCGGATTGGTTTAGGGCCGGTTTAAGGAAGGTTGGCTTAACATATGTTAGGGTGATTTAGGGTGGTATTAAGGTTGGCTTAGCGTGGGTTAAGGCTTTGGTGCTTTAGTGCTGGTTTGGGGTTGGTTTAGGGCACGTTCAGCGTTGGTTTAGCTTTGGTTTAGGGTTGGCTCAGGGTTGATTGAGGGTGGCTTTACTTTTGGTCTAGGGTTGCTCGTTGGTTTGGGCTTGGTTTAGGGTTCCTTTGGTGTTGGCCTGAGGGTCGGTATAGGGTGGTTTGGGGTCAGCTTGAGATGGCAGACAAGGTCGGCATAGGGTCGGCGAAGAGTGGTTTTCAGGTTGTGTTGGTGTGGGTTGGGGTGAATTTAGGCTGATGTTAGGGTTAGTTTAGCGTTGGTGTAGACTTGGTGTAGTGTTGGCTTCGGGCTGGTTTGGTGTTGGCTTGCTTTAGGGCTGGTTTGGGGTTGGATTGCGTGGGTTGGTTTCGGGTTGGTTTGGGGTTGGCTCAGGGTCGGTTGAGGGCTGGCTTGGGCTTGGCTTAGGATGCTCAGGATTGCTTGGCTTGGTCGGTTAAGGGTCGGTGTAAGGTTGGTTTGGGGTTGGCTTATGGCTGGTGCAAGTTTGTTTAAGGATCTGCTTGCGTGCGTGCTTGCTTGCCGGCTTGTTCGCTTGCTCGCCTGCCTTTTTGCTTGCTTGCTGTCTGGCTGGCAGTGGACAAAAAAAACAGCTCGGGTGGAACACAATTCTCGTAAAAATGTCTCACCACTTCAAAGTCGGAAGTCTTCGCCGATTCCCTAACCTATTGCAAGCAAACCAAGCACACGCCATGTTTCACTACAGCGGATGTCTTGTTCCCAACTGGCGATACTTAGTGTCCCAGAAACTGATGAGACCCCTGCTGGATGGTGCTCACTTGAACGGAAACAACCCATGCATGTTACGCGAATCTCCCGCTTCAAGCTAGACCCATATAGAAATCAACCACACCCTTCCTCCCCCCTACAAACTAATAACAAGCAAACAACTGCAGAGCAACTGCGTCTCTCCTCCTGGGGAGTCAATGCCATCTCATGCAGGCGGCTGGCGGTTCTCGCAGCGCACTGCATGAAGCGAGGCTTGCAGCTGCTGGCCACGCCCTGTTGCAGGAGCTGGTGAAGCTCTCCTTGGGCGGTGTATGGGCCAGTTTTATGGAGGTTACGGCTCCCCCCAAAACAGGGGACTTTCCAAAATGGAGTTCGATCTTCCTTGGTTTGCGCGTTTTGAAGCCCCCGAAAAAAGGGTTCCCTAGAAACAAACACTCGCGCACGCACACACAGGTGGGTTGGGTTTAACAGGGGCACCTCATTCGCAAGCCGGAAAGTAGCCATGGTTGGTACAGTAGGGGCCAGCCGGGAAATTTCCCACTTGCACTACTTGGCACCCCAAAGGCGAGGCAAAGCAAGTGCGTCAAAACAGGACTCGTTTGAAGCCTCAAGATTCACATGGATCCCAGAAAACACAAGAGTTCTTGGGGTAACTTCCCAGTTCCATTCTTTCCAGGGATCCGAATCTTTCTAGAAAACCACCAAAAACCCGAGAGAATGGCTGGTTTTTGAACAGAACGATGCAGCTCTATTTGAGGAATTGCCTTCGACATAACCTTTTTCGGGGACCTATGTAAATTTTCAGGGGGCAAAAGCCATAAGTCAGCGAATTTTGGGTCAGATTGGCCTCTCCCAAGTTTAGCATTGGGTTAGTGTTAGCATCAGCTTAGCAGTCTCCGGCTGTTTTGGCAGCATGGCTGGTACTTCTTTGTCATTTCTACTATTGCTTTTTTGGGGTGGCCACGTAATATCCCCTTAGACATTTGTTGTGGGAGCACTTTTATATAAAGGGAGATTTGAGGAAATCAGCGGTTTCGGGATGGGTGGTAGTGAGGATCCTGGAGAGGGAAGACTGGGGCAGGGCGAAGGGCAGTCGCAGGGCCGATCCAGATAGTTTCCCGGACAAAGAAATCTGCTATTGGGTGCCGATGTTCCTTTTGGGTTGTAGGTAATAATAATAATCTGGCGAACTGCAACGTACGGGCACCAACATTATCTCCCTGCAACAAACTTGGAACAAGGGAAGCAAGACCTGGCCAAGCTTCGTCCGATTCGAGCACGGGGGAAGCAAAAGAGCAGCTGACAGTTCTGCGGCGGATGCGAGAGCTGCCAATTCTTCAGCTCTGCAGACCTACGCTCTGAGCGCACGGAGACTCTGTGTGGGTCTGACGTCTGTGTCAAAATGGGGTGACCCCCTGGCAAGGGCTTTTGGTTTTGCTTGTGCTGACCGATCCAACAGAAAACCAATCGACCCCTCCAAGTTGGGCCTGGTTCATTGAATCCTGCCAGGTCGTCATTGGTAGTCATAACTCTGACCAACTCTGTTTCCCATACTAAGGAAAAGGGTCCTGATGCGTTTGTGGGCTTGGAGCTTGATTGTTGAGGGTGGGTTCTGTTTACTTTCTGGGCGTGTCTTTTTTTATATGGGACCCCCTCCCCCCGAAAGACACAAAAAAAGTGTTACTGTTGGTTTCCCGAGGACACCACAGTAAAAGGGGTACCCTCACACACACACAGACATGAACACACACACACACACACACACATCCTTGTCGATGATCCGGGTGCTTTACTTGGCAATGTCAAGGCCAAGGGGCATCGCACTAAGTGCCGAGTCCACTGCAGACTCTGCTGGTGCTCCCGCTGCAACGCTTTGTAGTCCTGACGGAATACATAGAAATATAAGGGACACATTGGAACGGGGTGTGGTGTACTGTATCGCCCAACTTAGTCATGGCTGTATAAACTAGCAGAAATGGATTAGCCCCCTTATCTTAGGCACACTCAGTGTGTTCGGTCCTGCGCTGAGTGAACGTCTACCAACGCCGATACGTTGAAGCATCCAGTTGAGGGAGCCATTCCCGAAGTGCCGACAAGACGCCCGATTCTCTGGTTTGCCCCTTCAAGTTGTACCCTTTTTTTAGGGGTCATGAAATTGTCAACTTTTGGGCTACCTTCAACTAAGCTATGGGCCTCTGATCACTCGGGACCTGGACACATTCTTGTTTTTTGCTCTTTTTTTCCTCTTTCGCACATTGGTCATGAAAATGGCCAAACACTGTCAACCACTTTTGGTGTCACACCACTTGGGCACCCCAAAAGCGCTGTGGGGTTCCTCTTGGTTTCCACGTGAAACCAAGGTGAGTCCTCGATAGGCCTGCTGCCACGCCACCAGAAGCCTCGACAGGCTCCTGGACACCTCGCTGGCTGGACCTAAGCCCGCTGGGACGCAACGGGGCCTATCAATTTGTTTGGCCCATGAAGCAAATGGCCAGGGAAAGTGAGATGGCTGTGGTTGTCAAAGCCGTTTTGGGATCCCATTTTGGGGTAGGTGAATTCTCCACCCATTTTAGAACCTATCTTAGTGGGGATTGGGATGTTCACTGGGGATACGGGATTTTGACCCATGGCCAGATCCCGGAATTCACGGAGGGTTTGTGGTTTGCTTGCAATAGTGTTCAGGGGTTCATCCACAGCCAAACAGTCTGCAAAAGCACTCACTGACGTTCTCATTGGCAAGCAGGTGTTCAGTCTTGAGTGATGCATGCTGAAACAAACAGCTGGCAGTGACGCTCTCACTTTCAGCGAACGGGAAGGTGTTGAGTCATAAGTCGTCAATGCTAAAGCTACGGCACACGTCCTTATACTTCCTCAAACATAGCATGGAGCCTGAAAATGGCGCCAAAAGGAGGTTCCTTAATACATGGGCGAGCTTTAAATACCGATGTGCTTCTCAGCATCTGCAAATGTCGCCTCGTGCCTGCATTGTGCTCAACTTCAGTCAAACGGAAGCATCCGCAATTGACTCAGAAACCTGAAATGCGAGATGTGTTTTCTAACATTGCCGCGAATCAAAGTAGTGACGCGCCTGGTGGGGGGGGGGTTAAATCTTGTAGAAGGCATGGAAGCACACGATGCAAGTTCAGTCATTAGGGTATCTACCGGCTGCAGAACTGCAGTCGGACAGCTGTCACATTTCGATTGAAAGTAGCTGTCATGCAACTCGGTTGAAAATAATATACACAGCCAATGTGAGACGCAGTCTGAAGACAGAATCTGGAACCCCCTGCAAGTACGTCTTTGTCGTGAGAACATCCGGCCGATTCACGACTGATTCGGGCTTTAATTTTGGCCTCCCTTGCGCAAAACCCATCCCTTCAAAGCGGAATCATAGGTCCCTCGGAAGGGTCTCTGTTTCCCAAAACGGCCGAAATGGGGGGGCGTTGTTTGCCCAAACCCGGGTGAAGAAATTGGCCTTGTTCCCCAAATACTGAGTCTTAGCCATCACATGCTGCTCAGCTGCTCATCACTTGCCGAAGTACCGGTTTTGGCGTCCTCACAAAACCGAAGGACTGGACGCTGAGGTGTGCTGAACCAAACACCCGGCGCAAGAATATGCCTGTAGAGATCGCACCAGCTTCTGCCCCGGGCGGTAACTGCCCGGCTCTGTTTTACCCTCTGGTTTTGGCCTGATTGGCAGCACATGCTGGCGCCATGTCCTTTGTTTGGGAAACAAGGCATGATCACGAGGAAATGCGCCCAACCCAGGTGTTTGCCCTGCTTCAAGTGCCTACCCCTACCAACAGCTTTTTCGGCTCTGTGCATTTGTTGGTCTGCAAACCTGAGGCTGACCTCTCATGGCCTGCTTGTATTCTGGCTGAGGCCAAGGCTGAGCAGGCACACAGTGGCCTGAGCAAAACCCATCAACTGATCTGATTGCTTGGTTGAGCGGTAAAACCTGAATGTAAAGAGTAAAGCCCTGAAGCTCGAGGTCAAACAAAATGCAGGCAGCCATGCCAGTACGCATACAAGTCT